CCAATCAACTTTGACAGGATCCATTCGCGTTCCATAACAATTCTTGCAGGTGACCTTCCGGTTTTGTCACTTGAGCGGAGTGGATCCCGGAATGGAATGTTACAAAACCTCTCTAATAGCGATCAGCACGTTGTCACCTAGGGCGAAATATGCCACCTTAGTGGCGCGTAAACGGCTCGATCTGGCGAGGCGGTGCGAAGTATCACTCGAAGCGGCCATCGCGCGATGCATAGTGTCGAGGGAGGCTGCAATAGAAGCGCGCGTAGACTGGGATAGGTCGTCATGCTGACTGGCGGACCAGTGGGCATGCCAAAAGCAAAACACAAAGGGAGCCAGCTGGTAAGACCGTAAAAGCTGTGTCCGGGGCCACACCACTGAGGCGAGGGGATGGTTGATGGTTTAAAGCCGATTGAACAGCGGGCAAGACACGGGTCCATTCGTTAGGCTGGATACCGATCTCAGAGAGCAGAGCGCGCATACAACGGAGAGCCTGTCAGCTGATGGCTTCGACGGAACCATTCCACCATGGCGAGTATGCCGCAGTGAAGTGGTGTTACGAGCCTAATTCGTGGGCAACATGCTCAATAACCTCGTTGTGAGAGTGAGACCCAGGTAGGTACGACACCAAGTAGGCTAAACCAGCGAACCAAACCAGTAGAAAAGTCTCATCTGTGACGACGGCAAAGGCAATAAGCATGCAGAACCTCGAGGCATTACTTTGAGAGTGAGGACGTACAGTATGTCTATTGATTGACCCTGTCGCGGGGCAGAAGGAGGAAATTGGCATGGAGTAGCTCGTTGGGCTTCGTGGCGTGGAGAGCCTTGCCGAACGGACGTGGAACCATGCGGCCTGAGACGCAAATGCAATGCAAACTCGAACGGACAAACACTGTCACGTCGGCCAACACAGAAGTCCAAGAGCACCGTGCGGACAAGGACGCGAACGTAGCATCAGCCCCACGATGGCCAGAGACGTGGACATGGGCGACAACCATGAGACGGGAGTGGAGGTGAGACTCGCCCGTGGAGATCCACACCACGTCATTAGCAAATGTATAACACTGATTGGCATCACTCCACGCACAGCCGGCAGGCGGAGGCAGATGCGTTTGCTTGATTGCGGCAATTTCCGCTAAGGTGGGCCACACCTACTCATCCGACTGCAACGGGGAGACAGGGGCTAGCGGATGGCGCAGGGTGACATCGCAATCGGAGTGACCTGCTACCAACTGAGCCTGTCCGCCCACACATTGGAGTCCCCGGGGATGTGCTGTATAGTGTAAGTGCAGCCTGTCATGACCATTTCCCAACGCTGTAGGCGGTCCGCCTGGTGGCGCTGCATTGAGCTATCCGTAGCTAGAGGATTAAACATAGAAACCAAGTTGCGATGATCCGTGCAATTAGTAAAACCACCAGGACGAAGCAGCAAGTACTCAAGGCGTTTACAACTCTCCACAATGGCAAACGCTTTTTCATGGGATTTTGTCCGGGATGGGCCAACGGCTCGAGGCGCCAGTGAAACAACCGCTGAGGAAAGCGAGAGGGCGACGACGTTGCTTGTCGATCGGCAAAGAAATGTTAGCGGCTGGAACCTGGGTGACAACCGTGCCCCATAAGTATATCGACACATCCGCGAACAAGTAGACCACGACGTCACCAACGCGGTGTGCCAAAGGAACCACAGCCAACAGAGCGTCTTTGACAGCCTGAAAACAAGTCTCGTGGCGCGAAGACCAGACAAACACAGAGAGCAGCACGCGATTAAGGTTGGGTTGCTGAGGTGTGTCGCCCTTGTGAAGACCAGAACACAGTGTTGGGGGAGCGGCAACTCCCTGGAAATACTCGGCGCCGTGTATTGCAATCAAAACAATCCTAGAACATGCATTCTATGCACACACTTCATGCACAGTCCAGGACTTGGCTGCTTTCGATCTCACTGGCCCATACCGCGTTCCCGATGCCGTTGCCGCCGTACAGGGTGCTCCCTTCTAAGAGGCTTCTCTGGTGAATGTTGCGTGCTCTGGGCCTTGGGCAGACACATCCTGGTCAGTTGCACACAACACTCCCCCCATGCCCAGGGCCAGCAGTCGTATCCTGAGAATTTTGCCCTTGGCTCCGGCGGGCCAAGTGGCGCAACACCTCGGCATCAGGTAACTACAGCAATGCGTCCTCCTCGGTTAGTATTTTACGCTGACCGGCATCTTCAAGGTCTTCAATGAATTGCCTCACAAGGAGAGGTATTTATCTGTACATCACTTGAAGTGGCTCCCAAGTGGATGGTCAAGGCCTTCCCATCGAACCAGGAGTTCCCACCGGTTCGTACCTCGGTTGGTCTGCACTCTTCACACGCGGCGACTGCCAATGTCATGCCTTGACTGCTGGCGTAGTCGATGATTTCCTCAGTGAGGTCAAGGTACTGATCTACGTTGTATTTAAGTCGTGAATGATGAGTTTCCCGCTCGTTTCCGGTGATAACATGTTCGATAATACACGAGTATGGCAGGCATTTCTTGGCTCGGAACGGTCCAATCCACGTGACAAGGAGTTTTGGGTAGTGGGCCTTTTCATCAACGCGGGACAACAAATCGTAAACTCCTTCAGGCACTTCGAATGTGTTGGAGTATTTTTTCTTCAGGAGTGTACGATTTTGTGCCGCTCGTTCTAGGTCCTAGAACTTGGAATGAATCTCTTGTAAGCTTTGTCTTAGGGCATTCATAGCAATCGTGATGTTTTGTCGTTCCCAGTTGATTTCAGTCATGCTGTCTGCATACAACTTCCTGTTGATGCTTCCAGCAATGATGTTTAACGGTATCGTTGGATCTAGTCCGGTGAAAGCAAACATAGTCGACGTACCACCCAACGCTTGGGTTTGCGGTTGATTGAGGTTTTCCTGTACGACAGGGTGAAGGTAATCCCATTCAGTCTCAGCCAGGCGGCTTTCTGCCAGCATGACTCGTATGACCGTGAGGATGTCTAGGTTAAGTCGTTCGACTGTTTCGTTTCGCCAAGGGCAGTATGCTAACACGATGTTATGTTGTACCTTCAATCGTTGGGCGAGCTCTTTCATGATACTGTTCTTGAAACGGCTGCCTCCATCCGAGATCCATACTTCTGCACGCCAAAGATGCTGAGTCAGTCCATGATGTCATCCATCGCAACTTGACTAGTTGGTTTGTCGCAGGCTATCAGTCTTGAGAAATGAGTGAGGTCGGCTTTCAGTACGAGGGCGTATTTGGATCCCTTCCAGGTATCTCCAATGAATAGAAACTTAAGTGCAGGCCTTGGTTGCGTCGTGTTGCTGACCACATGTTCCGTTGAGTCCTTGGATGATCCTTCCACCCCGAATATGTGGGCATAACTGACAAGCCCGTAGGAACGCTGAAATATTTTCACAAAGATGCGTAATGGTGATGAGCTGACGCATGTGTGATTCGCCATTGCGTGGTGACCACGATGTCCCATCGAGCCACAGTGGGCAACGATAAACAGTCGAGTGAGCAATTCGTGTGTATCGTCCGGTATCCAAATGCGTCCATGGAGATGGAGCACACCGTCGTCGTGTAAGATCGCGGGGGTAGGTGGTTCTTCCATTGCCTTATGGGCTTTAATGATAGCTTCCAGCTCGGGCCAGATAAAGTCGGGGTCATCGAGCGGTCGCATCTTTGCCTGTGATGGAAAATAGACCCACCGTGGACTAATAGACATACCATGGACTGTGGCACTTCCTGCGCTGTGTCCATCTCTTGAGATGAACACACGAGTGCGCCGCTTCGTGCGGGTCCAAGTGGTGGCAGCGAAAGCTGGAGGTGTGCTGGCACGAAGGTGTTGTTTGTGGGACTTGATCAGCGCTAGTTGTCCCCTGCGGCTGAGTAGATCGGCCGAAAGATGTTTCACACCGGCGATGTGTTTAATGACGTAGCGGTTTTGACCGAATAGGTCCGCCCAACGGAGTAATTTTTCCTTGGTTGGCGCCTTCAGTTCCTCATCAGGCACAAACACTCGGATGATATTCTTGTGGTCGCAATACATTCGATATCCCATCGGGCGTAGGAGTAAGTACATCAGTGTGTCTCATGCACGGGCAATAGGATGTCCTTCATTTCGGTGACGCTCCAGTTCCTCTGGGCCTTGTCAAAATGCCTGACTGGCAAACCAGCATTTCGTGCTGTTGTTCATGAACTGGAGTAACCTCGTCAAAATCATGTACTTTTTGTAACCAATATAGACCATCCGTCCTGCGAGGCGTCCGTGAAGAGGCACATTGTGGTACGTTCATCAGGGTGATGTAGTTGCACTGCAGCACCAAGAGTTCCTTGACTTTGTCCCAGCTTGCACGTTCGATGGCGTCGAGTTCAACTTGAATCGACGTAGAAGCGCGCTTTCTGCACTGCTTTCCATATAAAACTTGCGTGAAATTCTTTGCAATGGATCCTCTGCTTGTGCAAAGCCGATGAGGGGATCACGAACCCAGTTGACGGCACAGATGAATTGCTGGAGTTGGCCAGCAGTCGTTGGATACGGTATATCGCAAAGTGATTTGTTCCTTTCTGGATCCTGTCTCACCACTTGCCCGTGGATAATCCGTCCACACCATTTAATTTCGTTGCACAGCAGAGTGCTCTTGCGCAGATTAAGATGTAGGCGATTTTGAACTATGTTGCGACCTTCCAGGTCTCGCTGAAGTTCTGCAGCGTGAGTTTCGTGCACTTCTCCAACATTTGAACCTCGACACAGCTTTGCAGGAGGGCCTTGATTAGCGGCCGCCATATTTGTAATTCAGTTTGGATTGACGATCATAAGATGGTTGTCGCTTTTCATGAGTCTTCTGGGCACCCCATCCGCCAAACTGAATATGTTGAGCTCGTTCACGTGGCTTACTGTTGAGGTTTGATCCCGTGTTTCGACGGGCTGACGCATCTTGGTATCCCGCATTCCAGTAGACCGGAATGCATTGGAGTGAAATTGGCTGGTGATCCCCAGTCGCTTCGTTCCTGGCTACCATTGCCTCGCGCAGGACTTTAGCCACCCTTAATTCTCATCATGATTTTTTTTGTTATTTTCAAAGCCGCCACCATTTTGACTTCGGTGGTCGTCATGATATATCCTCCATGATCGAATAGGCGACCACCTTGATGTTCGAAGTCGTTTGCGCGAAGTTGATCGCGTCCACGACTGCGGTCACGCCCGCGGCTCAAGCCACATCCACGGCTCAGATCACGCTCATGGTATTCCCTCGACCACGGCTTGGCTGGCGTCTTTAGCTTTTGTCCCTTGCGCAACTCTTGTCACGTCTTTGACTCTTACCTCTTACGTGATCACGGTGAGACTACCGGTCATCACGTTATCACTTTAGTCGTGGTTACGTTTCGAGTATATCACGCTAATACTGAGCACGCGCTTCCCTGCCCTGCGCCCCATCTTTCCCGTGCTGTTCTTTGGCAATGTCCAGCACAAGTACTTTTGAGAGTCCGTCCAATACAATTACCACGATGTTTTCCACGAGCAGTGTATACTTAATGTTACATCACGTCGAAAATATGGTACAAACAATCCGAAACTGAGTGGTATTTGTTGTTTTCAGTAGTGTTTTCGTATTTGCTGCATGATCGTCTTGGAGGTGGCATGAAATGATTATTTTCTACCAATCATCGTGGATATTGCATTTCAATTCAAATACTGTACAGCATGAGTACAATGCCTGCAATTCTCGTTCAGGGCTTTTTTTCGCCAACACAAATTGCAAGAATTCTTGCCAGTACCGATGGAGACATTTTCCGTCGCTCAATGTATTGGCGTGTACAAGATGAGACAATGAACGTGTTTTGAAAGAATGCATATGCTTGGTTTCTAGGCAATGTTGGTTGCTCAATGGACCTGTTTTGCTGTTTTGAATTGTTATGGAACACAATCCCAGGCCTCCAACGACCACCTCATTGCCATGAGCACATCAACTGCATATGGGATCTCCTTGCTGCTTGCAGCACTCAGTTCGTGCGGTAGCGCCATCAATAATCGAGATGGTATGTTCCTTGTAATGCCGCTTGTAGTATCAAGTGAAGTCAGCAATGATGCCAGCGTCCATTCGCTGCAGGAAGATAGTTATGTTTGGTTGCAGCATGAGACGGTGAACGTTGGTAAGTCGAACACCAGGGACCGATGGGTTATTAAGGATCAATAACACTCACTTGTTTTCATTGGTCATGCAAACGTTGAAATCATTAATCCGTTCGGAGAACTAGGCCGTTATCATCCATGCTGGTTGGACCGGTACAGCAGACCCATTTTTCTCTCGACTCAGTCACAAAACAGCGCGGTTGCTTGGCCTTGCTGATACAGGTTGGAGGCCGTTTGTCCGTACCACATGTGCTTATTGCAAGAGATACGGAAAGGCGGCTCTTGTCTTGCTTCATGCCTAATCGCGGTTGTCGATAATACAGGGAACGACGCTGAATAAGACCGCTACACCTATCTGTGATTGGTCCGAGGGCATGAGAGCATTGTCCAATCAGGGACAACAAACATTTACAACCTTTAGAGGTTTCGACAAAATCAAATAGATATTATGAGCCATGAATATAGATGCTACAACGTTATAATTTAAAAAGAAGTATCCACATACAATTGGGTTTACTCTGCGCCATGTTCTTGCAGGTTATCAATCATGAAACTAGATATTTTATTTCAAACTACCGGGAATATATTTAACTACTTCCTCTGTTCCACATTTCTTTTACGTTCGACATTTGAACGACCCCAAAAATTGATTTGACGACATATTTTCAAACAAATTATCATTTTATAAAGAGCATAAAAAACTACAGAAGGCATCCATTGGATGCAAAGCGCCACAGCTCGAGTTTCGCGCTCAAAACTCAACAGCAAATTCCAACCACCGAAAAAAAATACCCCACATAGTCCAACACAGTCATATTCAAATTTGCCGCCATGGAGGATCAAGTGAACCATACCCGCCGAGACCTCTCGAATAGCGTCAAGTTAAGAGTAATCGAACACCTCAAAACGTACCTCAATGGAGAAAATCTCAAGCGCGGGGCCTTCAAACGCACAGCTGAGTTGCTCGCTCTCCAACCCCACACGGTCGCATCAGTCTGG